TCGGCAATCCTGTGCTACAAGTCTCCCAGGTGCCTCCCTGGTGCCTCGCAAGCTGTCAGGCTGTCCAATTGATCCTTTCCTGCCTCCCTGTGCCTCGCAGGCTGTCCTCCCAGGCTGTCCAAATTGTTCTTTCCTGCCTCCCTGGTGCCTCCCTGTCAGCTGTCCAATGAGTCCTTTCCTGCCTCCCTGGTGCCTCTCAGGTGCGTCTGAAACTGTCCAATTGATCCTTTCCTGCCTCCCTGGTGCCTCGCAAGCTGTCTAAATTGTTCTTCCCTGCCTCCCTGTGCCTCGCAGGCTGTCCAATTGATCCTTTCCTGCCTTAACAGTAAAAGCCTAAAACCATCCAAAAATTTAATTATAAAAAATGTTTTGGGAAGATGTGTTTTATTATCCCTCTGACTGGCACAATCACCTCAGGGTTTAGGGTTCTATAATTAATTAATAGGCAGTACTGCCTGAATCATTTAGCCAGTACTGGCTCGAAGTGCTGAAGGTCGTGGCAGACGCAGACAACATAGTGGAATAGTACTTGTCACGTGACAAGTACTTCTCATGTGAGATGTACACAAGGGCGGTCAGCGTGGGGCTCTGCTGGGGCGAGCGGCTCTAGCGAGCCGCCGCCCGAGGCAGGCCCCCCTAGTTTAGGGTTTAGGGGTTTAGGGTTTAGGGTTTTAGGGTTTGCATCTTCGAGTGGGCTCGCTTCGCTCGCCCTCATGAGTTGTCTTCTCCCACCCCCGCTTGCGCTCCTCCCACGTCTCAACCTTTTCGGGTTTAGGGTTCATTCGAACCCTTGGCGGGGGCCCGGCGCAATTTCCTTTTTTTCGAAGACAACTTTCACGAGCTCGCGCCGCGAAGTTCGAGAGGCGAGCGGAAGGTCGGAACGAGCGAGAGATCGAGCGAAGTTCCGGCCGAGCGCGAGTTGGAGGGAACCCGGCGAGTAGCGCAACGAGCGATTGTGTGTGTGATTGTGCGTGTTCGATCGGTCGAGGCGGCCGGGCAGCGAGAGCGAATGCCGAAACGAACGAAGCGCCGCACGTCCGCGGAACGAGGCTCGCAAAGAAAGCCGCCGGGACGAACTTCGACGCGCGCCTCGCGCAAGACGCAACGGCCCCCTGAGTTTGCGGACAAGACGCGACCACGCTCATAGCTGCATGCCGTACACCGCGAGCGCCGCGGCATAGTGCAGACGATGGCGCTGCAGCTGCGCCCGTAGCACTTCTTGAAACTGTCGCAGCTGCGCGCGGAGCTGCGCGCGCTGCGGCCGCATGCATAGTTGCAGCAAATACCCGAGGAACGCCCACACTTGGACGAGCAGCCGCATAGGGAGGACGGGACGGCGGCGGCTTCCCAGGATTGCCAGGTGCGCGTCTGGCAAGATCTGTGGGAAAATGATGACCTCGTCCGTCTGCGTGGCCGCGTCTCGCGTCGGAGGCGTGAGGGGCGCGGGAGGCTCGTCGTCAACCATGTCTGCCCACAGCAGGTGACCTGCAAACGCCATGGCAAACGCAAAGTAGCGCGGCACGCAAAAGCAGAAAACACAATTCGAGCCCGGACCTGCGCCACTTGATATGGGATATATATATATTTATGCGAACAGAAAGGTGCTATTATTTTTTCCCCGCGTTGCATGGATAATACAGAATTGCCCTTCTCTGTTGAAATCGTTCCTTCCTCTTGGAGCCACTTGCATCACTTGAAATTCTTTTTACCAGCGCCGAGGGCGTCGCCGGAAGAGATGCTCCGTAGAGCAGGGCGCGCTAGAAACGGGATCCGTCGGAGAGTTCCGACCCGGTCTCGGAATCACTGTCGCTCGCAAAATCGAGGATCTCGTAGAACACCAGCCCGATCCCCACGCTCCCGGCGCAGACGTACGCCATGTGCATGTTGACCCGCAGCCCGGTCACGGGCCAATGCCGCAGCGTGGCTGGCGGCGTCGCGGGCAACACCGGCGAGCGGATGTACGGCAGCCAGAGTTGCGCCGTCATGTGGCGTTGGAGCCAGGCGACGGCCTCCGGCAATCCTTCGGGGGCATTGTCGCGAGCCCCGTTGCAGGCTGTCGGCCACTCTCCCGGGTCCAGGCGCATGTCGGGCAAATAGCGCCGCATGTCGCCCAAGCGGTCCAACGGCAAGTTGAACGCCCGGCGCGCCAGACGCGCGATGCCAAATGGAGCCCCACTGTGATCTATAGCCACGCACGGGCGCGTCGGCTCCAGGAGGAAGGGCGTGAGGAGTCCAACTTCGTCGAAGAGGTCCAAGTGCCGGCGAGCCTCTGCGATGCACGCTTCGACCTGGGCCCGAAATTGAGGCAGCTGCGCCGCCAGCGTCGAGTGCGCGACGCAAGCTGCGACGGCCTCCACCGCGGGCAGCCAAGCGAGAAGCTCCCACACAACGGCCGCAGGCTGGTTGATCAGCGGCATGCGCACGAGAGACACGACGCGCAGAGATCAAAGAGCACTCGAGCCAAGGGCGGCGAAACCTGGAGAGCAGCTGCAACGCACAAACGCGGACGATGCGCACGAGGGACAATCGAAGTATGAGTTGCTGCACACTTATATTGCTTTGGGTCTTTGTGGTAAGATATAAGCCTTGTCGTCATTTTTTGTCTACCGTTACTCTCGGTCAAGTAGATTGCATGTAAAAACAAATCGACGGAGTTCTCAGGCGAGCCGGCGCCGCAGGCCTCGTTTTTCCTCCGCACGGTCGAAGTCACGGCGTTTTGTCCTGCAGGCGCGGACAAGAGGCACGACGCGCCGGTCCTGCAGCGGCATTCAAAAATTCAAAACATCGCGCGAGGAACGCGGCCGAGCCCGGGTCGGCGCCTTGCGAACTTTCATATCCATGCAAGTCTGTACTCAGCGGGCCGGCGTAAAATGCA